CACACAATCCAAGATGTTTGAATCCAGTGTGAAGCTTCCACAGTCTGTTGGTTTGGGGAGCCATGTCATCTGCCGGTGTTGGTCCACTGTGCTTTATTAAGTCCAGAGTCAGCGCAGCCGTCTACCAGGACATTTTAGAGCACTTTATGCTTCCTTCAGCAGACAAGCTTTATGGAGATGCTGACTTCATTTTCCAGCAGGACTTGGCACCTGCCCACACCGCCAAAAGTACCAAAACCTGGTTCAGTGACCATGGGATTACTGTGCTTGATTGGCCATCAGACTCGCCTGATCTGAGTGGCATTGCCAAGAGAAAGATAACGACGTGAGACCGAACAATGGAGAAGAGCTGAAGGCCGCGATTGAAGCATCCTGGTCTTCCACAACACCTCAGCAGTGCCACAGGCTGATAGCATCCATGCCACGCCGCATTGAGGCAGTAATTCATGCAAAAGGGGCCCAAACCAAGTACTGAGTACATGATTCATGAGTGCATGATTATACTTTTCAGAGGGCTGACATTTCTGTATTTAAAATCCTTTTTTTTATTGATTTCATGTAATTTTCGGGGATTTTGAATTTGGGGTTTTCATAAGCTGTACGCAATAATCATCGAAATTATATCAAATAAAGGCTTGAAATATCTTACTTTGCATGTAATGAGTCTATATAATATATTAGTTTAACCCTTTAAGTTGAATTACTGAAATAAATTAACTTTTGCACGATATGCTAATTTTTCGAGTTTCACCTGTATACCAGAAAACATGTAAAGAATGAATAACCAAACAAAACATAAGCTGGAACATAGAATGAGAACACAATCAGGACATAATACCAAAACCACGACAGTAACAGTAAATATAAGAGCAAAATGATAAATATACAATAAGAGCTAACTTGACTGTTCAAGTGGTGTCCAGTAGTAAGAATAATATTGCACATATAATTAAACAGTGTATTGCACATTGCCATAATTAATGTTAAATACCAGAGAGATTATCATGTTGAGGAGATCTCAGAGTTGAGTAGGTTTATAGCAGTTGGGAAGAGGCTGTCTGTAACTTTATACCATTGTTATGTTGATAGGAGCCCGATGAGCTGATGGCAGCATCATTCCAGATGTGAAGCACCAGAGTCTGGTTCTACAGATGTCCCAGCTTCCAGCATGACCCTGCCAGATCCTGCACCCTACTGCTTTGCTCAGCCTTTTGTTTTTACTTTTACTCCACAACACCTGAACTCTACTGATTTCAAATTATGACACTGGGTTCCTATCCACAGGTTCTGTTATTATAATTACTGCTACAACACATTATTTCAAATCAGACAAAACTACTTTTACATTGGTAACATTTTAATACTGATGTTTTCATAAATGCAAGATATGATTTTAATTTGTTAAACTGTTGCTTTTGTAGTAGGAATAATTTTTGGTATATAAAATGGATCAGAATAGATATACTTAAAATCACTCTTCACTCAGTGTGATCTAAACTTTAAAAAATAGGATCGTTAACAGCTGTAAATGAAAATATTAAGACAGTATTATAGGTCAACATTTTGCATGTGAGTAAAAAGTAAAAAATGAAAAGCTGATGTTATATATTTGTTTTATTTGGACCTTTCTTTAAGAGATTAATGTGACATTAACTAAGAAGTTGTGGAAACCAAAGAATTATCTGCACACTGAATAGTTCAACAACTGGTGCATTTGATCAGCTCTGAGACCTCAGTGTTTGCACCATCACAATTAATGATTCCACCTAGTTGGATTCATAATTACTGGTTGGTTTGGATGTGCCCACATTCTTCTGTGTTTAAAGTTCATTTAAATTAGAGCAGCAAACAAGGCACTCTTCAAAAAATATTCAGGCTCTGGTACTGAGTGTAAGACTCAGTTACTCTACTCAGGTAGAAAGTGAAAATACTCCAACACACACAGATGTACACTGTATAATTACTTTTCAACATTTCATGTGAAACTTGAAACATTTTTGGGAGCATTTTCACTTTTAAACTTCAACTAGACTCATCTCTCTTAGCAAGAGTTCAGTTTTAATGTTTGATGTTTTATCTGTGTTATATGATTAACTTGTCAATTGAATTGACAGAGAATGTGAAATCGAACATTTTCAGTCAGTAGTAAAGACAAAATTTGAGAATTATTTGCAATGTGAACCATAATTTATATATTTTTTAAGTGTGCATAAATTAAAACTAAAGAAGAGCTATTCCACCACAGTCCAACAGATAAATGTCCAGCACAATGAGGATGGTTTCCATGTCTCTGCAGCTCTCTGGCACCAGGTTGGACATCTGATCCACATCCACTGTGACTATAGAAGGAAAATAAAGAGTAATAAATGTTGCAGGTGATGTAAAATATAAAGTTAACTATAAACGATGCCTCAGCTTGAGTAACAGTAGTAATATGTCAAATATGTGAGAGAAAATGGAACAAGGGAGCACCTCAAAATATAGATGACAGCCAATAACAATTGTTTTTGTGTTGTCCTTTGAAGACATACATTGTAATATCAGCTGTCAACTGTCAAGTAGCCATCACATTGGTGTTATCACATTATAAAGTATAGTCCTCGCACCAGCCCTGCTCACTCGCTCTGTTTGGTTTTATTGCAGTGTACTCTTTAGCACTCAGAGCTCCCCCTGCTGATCACAAGGTGCCTCATCAGCCGTTTCAAACCCAGCCTTCACTATATGGCCTGGTCCGCTTATTTGCATACACTCCTCAATCCTAAATCTCAAATGCCCAATCCTAAATTCAGAAATGCCCAATCTTAAATGCCCAATCACCCAATTCTAAATGCCTAAATGCCCAAACGTCCAAATGTCCAATATTAAATGCAAAAATGCTCAATCCAATGGCCAGCGATCAGCGACAGCATATACCAATGTTGATTCAATTGTTATCACAAAGAGATATTGAAACTGTAAGCATATACAAACCAGGCAGACTAGGTGTGTATATAAATAGATAATAGAGAGTGTAGATTAAGACGGAGAATTCCGAGATCCCGATCTCTGGTGTGGGAATGCATATCATTCACAGTGCAACTGCTGATGTCACTGTAGAGGTTAAATATATTTGATGGATGCTTTTGTTACAAGGACACACAATCCTTTGATTTATTGTCAGGAGCAACGTGCTGTGTATCCGCACCTGTAGCCTACATGATGGCAAAAAAAAATCTTATGTGTGCCAGCAACAAGTGTTCCATGTGAACACATTTTTTCCAAGGCTGTCATATATGGAAAAAAAAACAACTCGGCCCCAAGACAGCAGAATATTTCTGAATAAAATTCTTGACATAGGCCTATAACAAATGTGAGACTTTGTTCCACTTTTGTTTCCACTAATTTTTTATCATTCTTGAAACCACTTCAACATTACTCAGTTAAGGATTTTTAATCCATTCCACCCCATCACCACAATTACTCATTATTATTCATTGTTATTACACTAGGACATTCCCACTATTTATCATTACACCTCTTTTAAAAGCTACTGTATAATACTGTAAATATCCATATTTATAAACATTTATTATTTTCTTAGATTTTATACTTTATTATATTCTCTACTCACTAATTTCTACTATTATTTCTATTCCTTTTATGTCTTGCAAGTATCTGTAACAAAGAATTTCTCCTCAGGGGATCACTAAAGAATTCCGATTGTGAAATATAAAACAACACACAGATGTGTTATTTAAACACAATTTTATTGCAGTCCCCATCTGCTGTCTCTCACAATTGGTCATGTATTGTAAATGCATGTCAGTCATTGTTTCAATAAAACTCCTACCAAGATGTGTCCATCACTGCCTTTATTATATAATAATAATAATAATAATAATAATAATAACTAGAACTGCAAGCAGTTGTAATTGGGGTCCAAGCCTCCCGGCACAAGCCGCCCCCCATGACCCCGCGGAGGGCGCAAGAGTTGGCCTGGGCGCTGTGCTGTCATGCCGCATAAGGACCCCAAGTTTGGTGTTGATCTGCCATTCCAAACGTAAGTAAAATGTGCCATGGTTAGAAATCCTATTCATTTCAATGAGATTTTCCCCGGCCTTTCAGCTTCGATTATAGCGCCACCTGGAATGGGAATTGAATCAAATTTTCAGGTGTCATCAGAGGCCGTGGAGAAGAATTGAGCCAAATTTTGTGTCAATCAGACTTGCGGTTAAGGAGATTTAAAATGCATGTAAGTCAATGGGATTTTTTTGAACAGCGCCAACTAGGGACTAACTGTACCAAATTTTGCAGAGCCCCTCAGGGGGGCATGCCACATAAGGTCCTCAAGTTTTGTGTTGATGGACCTTTCCATGCCTGAGATATCATACTTGCTGTTTTTAGCGTTTTGGCAAATATCTGTTAGCGTGAAATTGGGACATTTTTTGTCGGATCAAAATTCCCTCTACAAACTTTCTTTGGCTTGGTCCAGAGATGGTCCGTGCCAAGTTTCGTGCCGATCGGACTTGTCGTTTCGGAGGAGTTCATTAAAACAGGTTTTTCAGTTTTCGAGATGTAGCGAAAAAAATGTTTAGGCGGAAATGGGCGTGGCCTATACCAGGAGATTCAGCTCGATCCCCCGAACGCGTGGATATAAGGTTTTTAATATCCGCCACTGTATGCGGGAGTTACAGCGATTTGTGCCAAAATTTTGACCTTGCTTGTAGCGCCCCCTAGTGGTCGAAGTGAGCGAATTTTTTCGCATGTCGTCGTCTCATGGGCCTGAACCTACCCTGTGAGTTTCGCGTCCCTAGCACTTACCGTCTAGCCTGCAGTAGTGGAATTAGGCGAAAATGCATGGAACAATAAATAAATAAAAAATTAAAATCCGAGCGAAAACAATAGGGTTCCCAGCTCGATGCCTTGTATTCGCGGGTTCCCAGCCCCATTCGGGCTTGGACCCCTAATAATAAAATACGTGGGATTAGTGTTTAATCCACAGAAAGAGAAGCGCCCATGCTGTCGAACTACATGTCCCAGTAGACTTTGCGGTCCGGGGAGGGGCTGTCGCGACCTTGGAGTGTGACGTACAGCAGCATGGCGAGCAAGGAGCCCAATGTAAGTGTTTTAAGGGCAAAATCATTTTAATGAACACGTTTTTACGGTGTTGAGTGACATGTCTATCTACCACTGATGTAGAACAGGCTGAGTTACCGTTAACTCTGTGAAGCAGCCGGTAAACAGAAGTAACGTTAGCCAGGTCAGGTCAGTTAGCATGTCTGTCTGTAACTGTTCTGCTAGCTCGTCAATCGCTGAACTTTACAGCCTGTTAGTAGGGTAGCATTGTGTGACCTGACTTGACTGTTTATGGTTATTAGCAGACTCATAATCTGTATTGGTATAATCAGAGATGGAATGGAGCTGCTCAGTAGGCTTGATTCGTTCATAAGTAAGTTTGCTCAGTCATCTGTCTGGTAACGTTAAATGTTCCAGACACATAGGATGCCGATTTGTCTCCTCGTCTCCCTCACACTTGCCTCTTAGCAAAGTTATCCATGCTTTATGCAAGGAAGTAATGCGACATTGAACCCTGATCCCGAAGGACTTTAATCCACGTTACCTGTGACGTGTGTAGGAGGGTGTCTGGGTTCCAAAATGTGCTTGATGGATGGGACAGAGACACCTTTATGAACGGTGTTGTGTGAGGCTGATACTTAAGACTGTATGTAACGTTAGTTGAACTGGAGTATTTGTTGCTGGCTTTTGTTGAGTGAAGAACAGTTCTGCTGGACTGTCAACACATCTGAAGTCAAATCACTAGATTACACCATAGACTGTATATAAAGGACTTCACACACATCGTACGGGTTAGGGGAAGAGCATCTCAAATATTTGCAGCCCCTCGGCCCACCCAATTCTCACAGTTTTTTACTAGAAGTTGAATTTTTTTTATTTAACTGCCTATTGTTCGTAATTGACCCTTCGCTAAGCCACGCCCAGAATACACAGCTGGCCAATCACAGCGCAGTATAGGACTCGCGCTAACTGTGGTCCCACACTTTCAGGGCTGCGCTCCATTCACTCTAATGCAAAAGGAGTCGTTTTCTAGCTTGCTTCTGCCGTATTTTTCCAAGATATGGTCAAACGCTGTTCCTGGGGCAATGTAATAGTTACAGTTGCTACTCAGCGAGGATGAAAGGAGAAGTAGGATTTATTCTCTTTCCAAAACCTAAAATAAATCCAGAAAAATGGAGGCTGTGGATTGTTCCTAATGTAATTTTAACTTCCTACTGAATGTAACGTTATAAATCCCTAACGTTACTGTTCTGCTTTTTAAGGATTGTAATAATGAATAGAGGCCTACCCAGCTTTACAGGAACAGTGTTGATACTTAATACCGTTGTCTTTTGTCTCAATCGTCCATGTGCTGTGTGATTGGTAGGCTTTGGCAGATCTTTCATTTTTCTCATCTGTTTGAGTCAGTCTGACAGCCTGAATACAACCTTCAAATTCACGATGCAACAGCAAAACTGTCTGCTTCTTTCTGAGATCGCTTTTTCCAACAAATTTCTCAATATATCATTGGGGAGTGCAGTAATAGACAGTGGCAGCGCCTTGATAAAAGTCAGCTCCGACAGACTTAGCAACAGTAACTAAGGGGGGCGTGGCTTAGCGAAGGGTCAATTGACCAGCAGAAATAGAAATTGTAACAATAGGTAAATCTGATAAGACTATACACTTATATTTTAAAAATATAAAGTAAGCTAAACCAAAATTCAGAGCCTCTAACGATGTAATTTCCCCAAATCAGGTGGTGGTGGCGCATAGATAAGATGCTTGGTGTGGGAGACCTGGGTTCGATTCCCACTGTGAAACATCCAACATTTTGTCCCTGAACAAAACACTTAACCCCTAGTTGCTCCAGAGGTGTGCGACCTCTGACATGTATAGCAATTCTAAGTCGCTTTGGATAAAAGCGTCAGCTAAATGAAATAAATGTAAATGTAAATCGGTTACTCCGGTTATTTAATCCTGTGTAGTCACGTGACTCTTCCGTGTCCAGTCCTGCTCAGCCTTCAGATTGCTTCAGCTCCCTAGAGGTAGAAGTGTGCCGATTTTTGCACCTGAGGTACTCTGGGGGGGTGTGAACCTACCTTGTGAAGAAAATCAATAAATAAAATCCGAGGACAAACAATAGGGTTCCCAGCTCCGCAGGCCACTCGGGCTTGGACCCCTAATAAACAGTATCTGAGTAGTCCTCTGGTTTATCAGAAGAAAGAAGAGAAGTGACATTTGGACAAACGAACGAGCACACACGTGTTATTTAGCATGAGAGCCGACAGCCTGTGGATCTTTATACCATGAAGCCAGACAGTCAGGACAGATGCAGACAGCTGACGGCAGAAATCACAGACATAATGGGTGTGGACTTTCCCAGATTGAAGGCTTTGATGTGGGACAGAAAGCGGAGCTGAAGTTGTCTGTTTTCTGCTGGACAAGTAATTAAGTTAGTCGGACTTTAGTGATTAAAGCTGAGACGTGGCGTGTTTCTCCTGTCAGTGGTGTAAAATATGTAGATGGATTAATTTCATGTAGCCTTGTTATTCTCCAGCGCTGTGGTTTGGTTTTTCCAGTTACATTAGCGAGACAATCAGCTGATCAGTAATTGTCAGTATAACGGTAAGGTTAGCTTACAGCATGGAAGCATCAGCCAGCTAAACTATTACTGCTCTGGTAGAAAAAACATGTAGTTGGATTGTTTTCATGTAGTGACTCTCTCTCTCTCCAGTGCTCTGTTTTGGCTTTGTGGGTTACCTTTGTGAGATAATCAGCTGATCACTAATTGGCAATAAAACGTAGCTTCCAGCATGAAAGCTCAGATCAGCTAGCTAAACCTTTACTGCCCTGGTAAATTAAATATTTTGTATTGTGATTTGATGTAGTTATTCTACAGCGCTCTGTTATGGCTTTGCAACTTGGACAGAAATTTGCCCTTACTTTCCTGCGAGAAACTGCTGATGAATATTATTGGCAATAAAACGGTAACAGCATGGAAGCTCAGATCAACAGCTAAACTTCCATTGAATACTGCCCTGGTGGAAAACATGTATTTATTTTACTGGTAATAGTGACACATAACACGACCGAGTGCCTATCAAGTGACCAATAATGAATACTTTCTGAATTTGCATTAAAAATAAAATTTTTTTGATATTGCTTCCCACTGTGCACACAAATGTGTAATTTGTACTTTCCTAAATGCCCATTTAAAACTTTGGACCGTTTTACCACAAGCTGAAATTATGGCTGTCAGTACTACTTTGTGTTTCTGTTACATTTTAAAAAATTTAAAAAGATATTTTGGTAAGATTTGCAGATTGCTTATCTAATTAATTAAGCAAAGTGAGAGGAGCCTTGATCCTCACCAGCCAATGCCTTTGTAAACTTCATGTATTATGTGGTTTATAATGGACTGCAGATGGTGCAGAAACAGTGAGGCTCACATTGTCCTGGTATCTGTCAGTGGTCATACTTGATGAACTAGATGTGATAGTTTTTGAGATGTTCTTCATTTACTTTGGTGTGTTAGTCCAGATGAGCCAACCCTCCCAAGATGTAAAAAAAAGTACAGTACGGTAAAATAATGTATTAAGAATGAGACATCATGTAACATTTCATTTCTTGATGTGGCTGTTGTTTAATGAACAAGTAACAATAGTATTCACAATAACATATGGTTTTACTGAATAATCAAGTAAATATAATCTTCTATCTATCTTAAAATGTCAATGTAAAGAAACCTGATTTCTTGACTAGCAACTCTCTGCTATCTCACAGAGGACATCTTTTATCCTGTCTCAGGCACCGTAGCTATACAATTCGCTTGGATGGGGGGGGTGAAAAACCTTTGTTCCGCATTGATATTAAATAATTGAGTGAAAGTTTAGTTGCAGCGGTCATAATTAAGCAGCGCCGAATATAGGGGAACCATTTCTCTGTAATGTATGTCAACATTACCTTATTAATTAACATTTACATAATGGATTTATGAAATCTGTGAATAAATAAACCTGGTCAGTGAAATATGAGAGCGACAACAACAAAAAACAACATTCAAAAACAAAATTATCGTTCAATAATCGTAATCGAGATGAAATGTTTAATTTCTGAACTGAACAGCAATGCTCAATGTACATACTTTACACATACAGTAGGATAGCAGACCTTGCCCTGAGCTTGTATGTCAAGCTATGTGTGTGTGAGTCCACATTTCAGTTTATGAATGGTGTTTTGTGTTGTGTGTGTTGCACATTTTGATGCCTTGATGTGTTTTACATTGGACGTTCGCTAGATGTCGAATATCCAACACAAAGCAAACTTCAGCGTGGTGCAAAGTGCATTTCCCTCATCAAAATATTACTGTAAAGTGTGGAATTTGTGACACAATTAAATGAACGATAGAGCATAATTGTAAATGATGGGTTTTTTTCTATCGTCAAACGATGTATGTATGTATTGCACAGCTCTAGTTCTCTGCATTCTCCCACAGTTGTTGCGTGTTACAGAGAAAAATCACAACCTTAAAGAGGTCGTATTCTGCTTTTTGGCTTTTCCCCTCTCTTTTATTGAGTTATATCCCTTTTTTGTGCATGTAACAGGTTTGCAAAGTGGAAAAAGCCCAAAATCCAGCCCAAAGGGAGTTCCCATCTCCCACAGAAAACTCTGCTCTGAACTGCTTGAAAACAGCTCGTTTGTAGTCCAGCTGCTTCCCTTTCATCCCTGTGACGACACAAGTTGGACTGATCCTCATTTTTACTGTAATCTGATTGGCTCAGCGGTGCCGATCAAAGGAGTTTACTTTCCATCCGATTTGTTTGACAAGTGCAGTAGAGATAGAAAATTTGAATTTAGAAGAAAAAATGTTTGCATAAGAAGCATTTGTAACTATTTTAGCCTTCTGACTGACTGTACACGACATGCTGGTAGTAGGAGACAGGTGTCATCCTTAAGTTTCTTGAAGGTCTTCAATAACACAAAAACATATTATTTTTAGTAAAAACAATTGTGGCATTGTTATTGCATATGAACAGTGAAAAAAAACGTTATGAATGTATCGGAAATAAATATGTTTAGCTAAATAAGTTAGTTTATTATCGTTAATGCACTCATCTACCAAAATCTCTTTGAATTTGAATATTTTAAACGCTTATCATGGCAAATATCGATATATATGATTCATTTTGATTCATTCAATTAATTCATTACAAAACTACAAACAAGTTACAAAACTTAATTAATTAGATAATTATTTTAATTGCTTGACAGCCCTATTTATTATATGTCTATTATCATTATTATTACATTGTCAAAATTCAATTAAAATCTGACTATCAGTGCATAAATTAAAAATATATAACGTGCATTAACAAACGCTGCTGGCACACTGGATGTCTTCATCTTTGTATATTGACACTCATCACAGAAAAGATTGCCGACCCCTGCTGTACACCAACAGCTGCACCTATAGTCACCAGTCCATCAAGCTCTTGAAGTTTATTTAGTTTAGTGCTTATCCTACTAGTGGCAAAATGAAGCAGTAGGGCTGAAACTGAGGCCAAAATCGCAACACAAAATAAATATTACATATTAGACCTATTTTAACTGTGTGTCACGTGACTATTGTGGTCCAGTCATGATTAAGTGATCATGCCTGCAAGTTAAAATACTTTAATTAACCCAAGATGGAATATAATAATGACAATAATAATGATAATAACAATTATAATAATAATAATAATAATAATGATAATAATGATGTCAAAAAATGAGGTATGAACCTAACTGTGGCTCAAAAATCTAGGTCTGAACTGTGAATCGTTTCACCCCTATTAAGCAGTGAAGAGTCAGAAATGCTAATAAAATTAAACACTGCTAATATAGCATCACTTCATCAGGGTGATCGCTTATACTTTAGATGGCGGTACAGAGATAATGTATGGGAACTGACAACAAAAAGACTGAAAAAGGTAACTTTTAAAATGTATTATTGGCTGCACCTAAATTATGCTCTGGGGCTTCTCAATGAAAAAGTTAGGCACAGCAGTTCCACCATTGTCAAAAGTTAGTGTGAAGCCCTGCTTGGTCTCCTGTATCCTTGCGCAGGTCTCCTCTGGGAAGCCTCCTCGCTTTGACCAGAAGTAAGGGTATTGAGATGCCCTTCAGGATGGCGGACCAGATTGAATTCTGACATAAATAAGGCAGAGGAGGAGCACCGGTAGTAACGAAAAACTTACTGCAGTTTTTAATTTACAATCTTATTTTCATTGTCTCTGTTGCTGTCTCATCCCCACACAAACTGTAGCGCTTCGTCCAGCACCTGAGGGATCTGGCAGGTCGGATGTCTTCGTCTGGTGGCAAAGGGGCAGGATTAGGACTGAAGCTGCTGCTTGGAGCTGGTGCTTTGGCATATGGCATTAAAGAAGCTACCTACACAGGTAAACACACACTGGAACCAAGCTCTCTGTGACAGATGCAGGCAGGTGTCCTGTCTGCATCTGTCACATGTACCCAGATGGCACTGATACTCCACAAAAACTACCAGGAGATTAGGATGACTAGAAGAATGTTTGAAAGTTTGCACAGCACTGATGAGAAGGTGACTGAGTTGGTGTGGATTTATAAATCTAAATATATGGAAGCGATACTGATGGATGTCGCTTTAAACTTTTTTTTCTAACTTTCTGTGTAGATTGCCTTTAAGAGTGTCTGATGTTCCTGTATCTGTTGTATCTCAGGCATAGACATTTTCATGGCATATTAGTGGTTCTCAGGTTATACATATTAGGTTGTGGAGTTTTATTCTTAAGTCTCTTGGATATGTCATGTTTACATCAGAGTCTTGATTATATTATTCAATTATTTTATTTTATTTTTATTGCGCCAATTCACAACAGTTATCTCATTGTGCTTTTCATATAGAACATGTCTAGACGGTACTCTTTGTGATATGTGTGGTATTCTTTATGTGTGTGAGAGCAGTGGAGGGCGGTCAAAGAGCCATCATCTTCAACAGAATTGGAGGGATGCAGATGGACACTATTCTGGCTGAGGGGCTGCATTTCAGGTAGGATCAGCACATTTATTAACTGACTATACTAAACCAATGTCGACTGATGTCAAAGAGGAGAGTGTTATTCAACAAAAGTTTTCATTGGTCAGTTAGTTGTAGAAAAATAACTCCCCTGACTGGGAGCTTGGCATACTGCAGAGTGTTGGTGTTTGTCAACACCTCTAGCACAGCAGCCTTGGACCACCAGGAAAGAAGAGGTACTCAGGCCCAGGGGCAGGAATGGCCACCAGAACAGGAGCTGGGTGAGCGGGCAGTGAAACAGGGCTCATCAGTCTCTCAGTGATCTTGGCCGGACCGGGACTAAACACAGCCTGTAAACCGACAGGCCAGTTTGACGACAGGGAATACAGTACTGAAGTGATTTACAGCAGCTCCAGGAACGACGAAGACACTGCGGGTTCAGGCTGGGACAGGAAAGGTATCACGCAAAAATATCAGGATTTATTTCAGGAAGAATCACGATTCACAATCTTATCACGATTCATTTTCATGTTGGTTTTTAAGACTATTTTGCAAGTTATTGAAAAGCTGAATAATAACCAAACTTTCCCCTGAAAAAAATACAGTCCATCAAGGTAACAAAACCTCAAATAAAAAACAACACACCGTTTAGGCTAAAGCACCTTTTCGAATAGATTTTAATCAAGTGTGCAATTCTGCAAAATATGAACATTGAGCAAGAATTTTGACTTGGTTTAGACTTGTATTCAAGTACAATAAGAGACTTTTGCAAAACCAGTCTATTCACGTTCTCTTTTTTTGAGGTAGCAGTATTTAACATTCTAATAAATATAAAAAGTAGAATAAAAATAAACAGAACAAGACATCACTGATGAAAAGCCAGTTTCAAACAAAAAGCTTAAAAAAAATGTAAACTCTTATAATCTAATGAAAAACTGCAAAGTATTATCATTAAACAATAATTTAAACAAGGTCTAGACATTCAGCACAGTCAGACATTTTAGCATTACTTCCAAAATAAACATTATTATCAAAAGCTAAAACAACACTATAAATAGCTTGCTGAAAAAAGGTTAAATAAAAATGTTAAACTAACACTTGTAATCTTGTAGTAAATTTCTTGTGCAGTGTGAGTCAAAACAATCAACCAAAGGTGCATTAAAATGTCAGACTCTGGACTATTGAAAACCGCTTTAGAACAAATCTTTTACATCTTCTTACAACTTATATCTCCTTCCAAAAGAAGTATGACAGATCACAGTCACAGATTTTTAGCCAGGAAAACCAGTTTATGACTTTAACTGGCATCAGAGTTGCCCTTTGGCATGTGACAATATTCCCATAAGTGCTGAAGACTCTTTCTGAGGGAGCACTTGTTGCTGGAATCGCGCAAATACTTTCTAGCTTGTTGGCTAATCCTTGGAAAGGGTCCCTCATGGACATTCCAGAGGATCCATCTCATTGTCTGCATCTGGTGTGGACAGGTAGGCCTTCCTACCTACCTATTGCCTCTTATAAAGATGGGAAAGCATATGTGGTCGTTGCAACTGCAGTTACAGTACCTGAGGTTTTCAAAAAGCTGGCCAGTGTTTTCTTCACTTTCTTTGTAGATGTTTGTTCTACCTCGGGGCTCTGTGATGTGGTGGCAGATGTGGGCTGAGCCGATGGTGCTGGATGCTGTGCTTGTACAGTCAGCAGCTCCAGCTCAGACACAGCTCATATTCCCCCTGTCTTGTTGCTGGTTTTGAACCAGCTCTCATTAAGACAGTGTAACTGTGACGGCGGCTGTTGGTGGGGTCGGTAACAGTGTATATCGTATTGTATCGACAGTTCCACCTTATTTTAGTGTTTATTTACTACTTGAATCTGCTCCTCTTCTCTTCGTGGGTGAGGAGGCGGGCAGCAGAGTTTTGGATGTCTTGAAGTTTATTTAGGGCTTTGGCAGAAAATTGTTGATGGAGAGGCTGAAGTTGTTGGTGATATAATTTTGAGTGATTTGTGGCCGATGATGATCATGTCAGATTTATTGTGATTGAGTTGAGGAAGTTGGTTTGCATTCAGGTTTGTATATCAGTGAGGCAGTTGGTCAGGTTTGCTGAGGTAACTGTGGTGATGGATGTGGTGGAAATGTAGATCTGGACGTTGTCGGCGTAGCAGTAAAGTGGAGACCGTATCTACGTATGATATTTCCGAATGGCAGGATGTAGATGATGAACAGGAGAGGACCAAGAACCAAACCTTGGGGGACGCCTTGTGACAAATGAGCAGTGGAGGGAGTGCAGTTATTGATGATGAACTGTTGTCTGATGGTGAGATAAGATCGGAGCCAGGACATGATGTTGGGGTTGAGAACAGGTTTCTTGAGGATGACCACACCACACAGTCATCTGACTGATGCCACTGCGGACAGTGGGTAGAGCTCACCGGGGTTCAGGTAAGGCCTACCTTTTCATTCTGTCGATGTTGTGACCTGTTAGTAGTTAGGTTAGCCATAAGGCTCAGTGGTAAACCTAAAGTAGATAATTTTACCAGTTACCTCCTGTGCCGTGACGTCTGTGTTGTAGGATCCCATGGTTCCAGTACCCTATCATCTATGATATCAGAGCCAAACCCAGGAAGATCTCCTCTTTGACAGGCAGCAAAGGTAACTCCACACACACACACACACACACACACACACACACACACACACACACACACACACACACACACACACACACACACACACACACACAAACAAACTTGGCGGGTTGCTTTTACATTTTATAATTGGCTAAATGTAATTGTTTGAAATAGTAATGTGCTGCTGATATGTGGGTGGAGTCATCTGAATGTGTCATGGTGAAAACGTACTGAACTTGTAGCCCCCATGAATTGAAAATATCCATATTAACCTAGTAACTACTCTAAGGTAGGGATGAAAACTGTTCCAGTTTACCTCTTTAGCAATGGAGGGGGCGAGTGCAAAGGTAATCCCAGAGAAGGGGAGCAGAGGCCACTGACAGTTAAGGTTGTTTAGAATTATGTATATTTTTGACTTATGAAATGTGCTGTACAGTTTACCCTTTAAGATGTTGTGCTAGACAGAATAGTCTGTACTTAATGTGTATGAAAGAAAGGTGTGAGAGCACACACCTACTGTGTCTGTCCCCTCACTCAGAGACACCTTTGCTCGGTTTGGGACTGTCTCTGTCTCCAGGAAGCTTCCCTCTGAAGCTGCTGTGAGCTGCTCTTGATCAGAGGTGCTAAACTAAAGTTTGTGGTGAGATTTCTGCCTGATCAGAAGTATTTTCAGTTTCGGTTTTCCACCTCCGATGAAGAGCAGCACACTTGTCTCATCTGGTCCCAAACGGTTCTGTGTCTCTCAGACAGTCTGAAGGGGAATAATACAGGCTAATGCCACTTTCATATTCAACATGTTTATCACGAATGTGACGGTGTGTACCCATTCAATGCAACCTGCCATTACTACAGCTGTATGAACCCAAAATAAACATTTTGCTGAAATTTTGTTGCCAATTTGTTAAACATATTAAGTCATGCTTTGTCAGGTCTGTCAGCAAAACAACAAGCAAACAAACATAACTTCAGTGTACATGCTCAGATCTGCACCAAACTTTACAAGTAGGATGAGAGTCCCGCCCTGAACACATCCATATGCCAACAAACATTCACTGCCATAGTGAGTTCTGCTGCTGGCAACAAAGTGTCAAGTTTCACGCTGTTATGTACTACTCTCAACATATTTGCCTCACCGGCTTCAAAACAGTCTCAGAAGGGCCTTAAAGACATTGATGATGCTATGTTGTGAAGCTTGTGAGATTTGAGATAACGGCGTGTCCTTGGCATCGCATGAAAGTTCGATGCTTCGCCATGAAACAGGAAGTTGTTGTAACTTCGCTGTACATTCTCATATCTCTACCAAATTTCACACATTTGATAAGGGTCACGCCCTGAACACATCTACAAGTCAAAATTCACTCAACCTCATAGAGCCACCTGCTGGAATCAGGAAGTGTCCTTTCAACAAGATGCATAAAGCTTTTGTGGTATATATATCATCCCAACACACAAAAAAGCCTCTTGGCTTTATTGAAACTGAAGGGCTTATTAGGGCACCAAGCATGAACCGTGCAAGGTCCCTATTGAAACTGAAGGGATTATTATTTTTAGGGCCAGAGCACGAACTGTGCGAGGTCCCTGTTGAAACTGAAGGGATTATTTAGGGCCCGAGCACGAACCGTGCGAGGTCCCTGTTGAAACTGAAGGGATTTTTATTTATTTATTTTTTTCTGCAAAGTAACCTCAATTTTGGGGGCCTAAACATACTCATACTGGCAAAATGGCTCATTTTTGGAGGCACCAGAGATCACAGAGGGTGCCCAAAGCTTTATCTGTTTTGAGGTTGTCAGAAAAACTTTGGTTTGCACATTAAAAAAAACATTATGATAACACACTAGACAATTTATTCAAAAGTCTGTATACATTTTTTCCTCACTGAAAATAGTAGGCAGACTACTTAGTAGTAGGGCTGTAATGGTTTTGAAACAGATACCACAATAGAGACACAAAAGTCCACGATCTGGTGTGGCGGATCCAAGAGACAGAACCGTGACACACCCGCTCATTGGACTGTTGACCTCTCATGAAGACAGTGCAACTGTGCCGCTGATGCCAGCAGCTGGTGGAGGGTGGGCTCGGTAGCGGTGTATAGCCTGTTGTAGGCTATTTGTGTAGGTAAATGCTGACAATTTACATGTTCAAAAATGTTTTCTCCTCATTCAGGTAGAATAAAGTGGTGCTGAACACAAGCTGAACAGTCCTCATTTCTTGAACCAGTAAGTGCTACTGGAACCGATTAATTAGTTTAAACACACTAAAAGTAATACATTTTTCGTTTCCCCTTGAAAAAATTTAACAAATGCCTCTTTATACCAATACCATGAAAAATAAATATTTTACACAGGTTTTTCTAAGGGTACATTTTATCGTAATTTTTTCAAAAACACCACTGCCCCTTGGTAATTTATACATGTCACTTTATTTATTCTGACCACACAACCCTAGACTCCCAAACTCAACTTGCGTCACCATAGGGAGTAGGAGAGATTTAACAGTAGGTCTACAGTCTATTGGCCTATCAAAGTTACAGTTGGAAGTCGTTGGTCTCTCCTTTACGTGAGGCTCAAGAAATGATATAACGGCCATAAATCTCTTCTTACTGCCTCCTTCTCAACCACTTCTTTTTTCTTTCTCTGCCCTCCTTTTTTTATAATATTTGTCACAAAAATATTTCCATTTTCGACATGTTAATTTTTATTTCGGGAGATTTCAATCCTGTTAGTCTCTCTAAGACTTTGCCCACTTTCAAACAGTTTGTTGAGTGCACAACCAGGGGTGATAAAATGCTGGATCTCTTGTATGCCAGTGTGAAAAATGCATACAAATGTACTGCACTGCCCCCTCTTGGGCACTCAGATCATGACATGCTACACCTCTCTCCCTCCTGGGATGCAGAAGATCAAAGGCATGAAGCAGAAGGGCGATATGCTGCCTGATGGCGAACAGAGTCTGGCTGATGATATGAACAGATTCTTCAACAGATTTGACGGCCCTACATCACTCTAGCCTCCTCCACCTGGTCTGCTGACTACCACTGTTTCCGCTCCATCTCCTACCCTTCTCTTAAACACACCTATGAACCCACCCGCTTGTAGTTCCTTTTCTCCACCTCCTACCCCATTAGCAGCCCTGCCTATTATTCTTTATCCAGCTCAGGTCAAAAGGATGCTGGGCGGACTTAAGCCAAGGAAAGCAGTGGGACCTGATGATATCAGTCCAAGGCTATTGAAGATCTGCTCTGCAGAGCTATGTGGTATTTTAACACACTTGTTCAACCTGAGTCTGCGTTTACAGAAGGTCCCAAGGCTGTGGAAAACATCTTGCCTGGTCCCTGTTCCAAAGAAAAATCACCCAATCCACCATGATGATTACAGATTGCAGCTCCATCACTGGTCCTGTGGTGTTTGGACTATCCCTCAGACCACAGTATGTACGTCTGCAGAACAGTGTCTCAAGCACTGTTCTTAGCAGCACAGGGGTGCCACAAGGAACTGTGCTGGCTCCGTTCCTGTTTACCATCTACACAGCGGATTTTCAATACAACACCAACAGATGCTTCTTGCAGAAATTCTCAGATGACACCACAGTTGTCGACCTTATAAGAGGAGGTGATGAGGAGGAGTACAGAGGAACACTCAACAAATTTGTGCAATGGAGTGTGAACAATCATCTCTATTTGAATACCACCAAAACGATGGTTGTGGTTTTCAGGAGGAGGGGGGGGGATCCAACCAAACACCTATTACCATCGGGGGCACTGAGGTGGAGCTGGTGACTAAGTACCTTGGTGTGCAGCTTGACAGTAAGCTGGACTGGAAGAGCCATATGGAGGCGGTGTACCACGAGGGGCAAAGCCAGCTTTATGTTTTTAAGGAGGCTAAGGTCGTTCGATATCTGTCAACCCTTGCTCTGCAGTGTCTATCAAACAGTGGTGGCCAGTGCTCTGTTTTTTGCTGTGGCTTGTTGGGGAGACGGCGTCCGCACAGCAGACGGAAGCAGAGTGGACAAGCTCATCAAGAAGGCCGGCTCGGTGGTTGGGGCTGAACTAGAGACGGTTCAGCAAGTGGCACAGGCCAGAACATTGAATAAACTAAGATCAATATTGATCAACCCTGCATACCCAATCCACCACCAGAAGGTGATAAACAGTAGCATCTTCAGTCAAAGACTGATGACACCAATGTGCAAGACGGAGCGGTATAGGAATTCATTCATACTAGCTGCTATACGACTCTATAATGCACAAAAATAACTCATTTTTTTTAGATTGTGGTATTTTAAATGAACTTGTGGATATGTTCTGAGTGAATGTTTGGTATTATGTCTGTCTTGAAGCTGCCGTGACACTGTAATTTCCTGCAAAGGATTAATAACGGATCTACCTACATACCTACCTACATACATACATACACAGGGTAAAAATAATGTTAGCTAATAAATGAATAGCCAACAGTAACCGTTAATCTGCACAAAAGCAGAACTGACACCACAAACTGTTTTCTACTGCTGTTAACGTTAACGTCTCTACTACCTCACTAACTTTCCTCCAGACCTGCTGTTTCTTGTTGATATTATGGTAGTTACGGTTTGTAAAGTCATACAACTCTGGTTAACCCGCGACAGCCACCACAACAGTTTCGTACAAGTTGAAAAAAAATTCTACTCTGTGCACTCGAGTGCTCCATTGAAAACGCAAGTCGTAGCAGGCGTCCAAAACGCGAGGCGCCCAGGGTGCATAAATGGCACACAGAACTCTCACTGCCAATACAATTTTAAAAAGGCACCTCTCACTGCAAAAAATGCTTTCTGTCTAACCGCTTGAACTCCATTGCATTAACCAACATTGGAAACTTTTTCAGTCTTCTTTTTGCTGTATTTCTACTCCTTTCTCAGCTTTCTCACATCCCTTATTCCACCAAGGAACCAGCATACAAGACCTAGGTTCCTGCTTCACGGAAATGGTACAGCAAGCAGCCTCATGTATCCTAATGGAACTAATTTACAGAACCCTCACTATTAATC